TTTTGTATAACTAATATCTGGTTTTAAATTTGATATGAAAATATTATGATATAATTAGATAATATTTTAAATTAGTATTTTATTAATGGTTGATAATTAAAAAATAAAACAAGGATAAATACATTTTTTAAATTTTATATCTTAGATTTAAGATGAATAAAAATATTAAGTTAATTAATAGTTTATTTAAAATGTTAAAATTTAATTTATAAAAATAATATTTTAAAAGATAACACCGGTGTAACTTTTACTCTTAGATCATATATATAAAATTTATATTAATTCAAGATGATTTCATACTTCATTATGTAAAACAAAATTGATGTAATATATACATTTCAAAATATATTAAAATATGAATATTTTGATTACCTTCAAGTTATTGTTCAATTTTAACAAAATTTGATATAAACATATAAAGTGATATGAACTTTCAATCTAACTGTTGGATTTACAAAATTTACATTTAATATAAAGTTATTGATCGATGTAATACTTAGTAAAAATTACACCGGTGTTATTATAACCCTTCTCATTTTAAAATATATAATTTAAACTTTTAAATTTATAGTAAGTAATTTAAATTATATCATAATATTAATTTTAAATAGAAATAAGTAGATTGTTAATTATAAAAGTAAGTATATATATAAATAAAGATTAATTAAATATAATATTATTATTGATAATTATTACATATATTATTATATTTTTATAACGGTCCGGACACACCAAAATGAGAAGGATCCAAAGATAATATAAGTACGAAATTGTATAGTTGAGAATGACTTAAATGAATTAATTTGTACTACCTATAGTGATAACATGCACCTGCCTTTTGGTAGCTTATCTCGTCGTTAGAACTTCATAGTTAAGCATGCTTAACTTATGAGAGCTGTTACATTAATAAATCTATTAAAATCAAATAAAAATTTTCCGACGAATTTATCCGTCTGAATCATATAAAGATGTTCAAATAATTTTTGACGAATGTAGCCGTCGGAAATTTCCAACATATTAAATTGTTTCTAATATATTTTTTTTTGACGTCTCTTTTTTCGACGAATTTGCATTCGTCGGAAATAAAGAATTTCTCTGACAGATATTCCCTTTTATCAACGGATTATGTCCATCAAAAATTTGTGTTTTTCTTGTAGTAGTTCAGGGATGGTGGTGACTTCTTTGAACTTGTCGTGTGGGAGACTAGGAGGTCGCATTGCTCAAGCCATGTTGGGTAGAAACACTGCCACACTCTTATCCTTCATTGTTGATTAGCATTAGTGGTGGTGTGGGTGAAGATGATGCAAAAATTGGAGAAGTTGGAGAAGATGAAGACATTTTAGGAAGAGAATTTCATTAAAAGTCATGTGCAATCTGAGGTTAGAAAAAATTGGTATAATATCTATTCAATTTTGAAAGAGTTTTACTGTAAGTCTAAATTATGAGGGAATATTCAATACAATTTAAAAAATACAAAAAATACAAGTGTAATTTACTTAAAAAAATAAAAAATAAAAGCGAAGATTAAGAAATAAAATAGAGAGGAGATGATGGAGACCGCCACAAAGAATAGCAGCACAGGTAAGATATTATTAGGTGCTGTTACTTTAATTATATAAACAAGCAATATTTCTCACACTTGAAGAGCCACTAGTATGATTTTAAATTATTTAATTCATTCCAATGTTAATGATCCAAGTAAAACAACGTTATAGCGACAATATATACACACAGATAATATTTTTAAACCGTTTTTTTTTGGGGTGAAAATTACACCGATAGTTAGAGGTTAGTATGTTTTCCGTATAATTTTTTTAAAAAAAATTCATAAAACATTTTTTTATTAGTAAAAATTATAAAGAGGGGACAACAAGATCCTTGAGCACAAACCTTATATGTAGTATCATAAGTGTGATTAGTTTTATTCTAATTTAAATTTAAATTTTATTTTGATATATAAATAATAAAAAATTTCATTAAATATATTACTGAAATAAAACTATAATTCTAATTATATCGTAGAATAATACATATGATATTGCATATAAATTTTATCCAATACTTAATAACTTATTAATCATATTATTCATCTCAACTCAAATGTGGAATTGAATTATTTTTCTTATAATAAGTTTATACATTACTAGAAAAGTGTCATTTTCTTGCAAATTTTCCTGCAAAAAAATATTCGCAGAAATTTTTTGCAAATTTTCTTGCAAAAAAATATTCGCAGAAATTTTTTGCGAAAAATAATTTACAGATATTTCTTAAAATTTTGCTATAATTTTAATAATCATAGAAATTTTTTTCCATGATAAAAATTTGCAGAAAATATTATAAGAATTTTATTTTATTTCTTGCAGATTTTCTTGCAAATAAAGCAATTAAAGAGTATATAAGTTGGGACAACACTTACCTTACAAGTTGATTTATATGGTTGAGTGTTAGACTTATAATCTACAATCCTAGAATTTAAAAGATTATGTATCACATGTTGTTGGAGACATGAAAACAAATGTTTCGGATGAATTCATTGTGAGCATTTGAAAGTTGAAAAATTATTGATAGAATTTCTAGTAATTTCTTTATTTTTTTTGGTAAAAAATATTCCTGCAAAATTTCTTACGAAAAAATTCGCAGGAAACTTTCCTGCGAATTTTTTTTTGCAGGAAAATTTCCTGCAAATTCTTTTTGCAGGAAACTTTCCTGCGAATTTTTTTCGCAGGAAAATTTCTTGCGAATTTTAAAATTCTCAAAAAAATATTATCCACGAAGGTATTACATGCAGATAAAATTTTGCAGGAAAATTTGCAGGAACAACGCTTCCTGCGAATTTTTATGAAAAATTTGCAGGAAAAGTCGCATGTAATAAGAGAAATTCTAGTAGTGGTAGTTCGAATTTTATAGATAAAAGATACATCATTAAAAAAATATTAAAAGTAATCAACTAAATCCTTATTAAGTAAAAATTAGTTAATCTTTCACATCAATAACATTGTTAATTAAAATAAATAATGCAACAAGCAAATGCATTGACTTTCAGTTGTTAATACTTATCAGTATTAGTGTTTTTACACAATTCTTAATGTATTAGTAATATTTAGAATTCCCTAATATGCTTGGTACATTCGTGGACAGTGTCAAAGTAGCAGCCAGAAGAGGTTGTTGCTATTTGCTAAGTTGATAATTAGTCATAAAGAAAGAGTTTAGTATTGCAAAAGGTGGACGGTGTACGCAATCATTCTATCGTTTTAACCACACTCTCTTTTCCGTTATGCATACAATTCATTGCGCTTTCAGTTTCCATGTGATTCCCATTCTTCCATTAATTTCCATTTCCACCGACCAAACTTCGTAGTAAGTAAGTAACTACATTCTCTTATTGCTTCTCACCTCTTCATGTTTCATTCGTCTTATATTCTTCTTCACAAACTTTATTAATGTTGAAGACTCATCCTGAGATTATATTTTATTGATAAATACCCTTTTCAAGTTTCATCTCTTATTTATGCTAGTGAGCATTTCTTATGCTCTCACTTAGTTTTAATAATTTTTGGCTTATTAAAAAAACATATCCAAGATTTTTCTTTTTTTGTTTTCTCCTCAGTTTTGAGTGCAGATAGAATATGACTGTGACAAGTTCATCTTCTGGGCAACCTCAATTCATTGCCAGCACCGGTAACCGGAGTTTGTCGAATGCGCCGTTGATTGAAAACTCAGATACTGATCAAATTGTTGTACCTGATGTGAGTTTGGTTTTACAATATTCAATCTAATGTTATTGGTTAACTTTGCATGATGTTCTTGTTTGCTTTATGGATTTGTAATATTGTGTGGGACATGGACGAATTTTACTTTATGTTTGAGATCAAGATTTATTATTTCGGAGTGGGATGCTTTATTCTCTGTTTATATGCTAATGATCAAGTGAATCTTCATTTTTTAGTTTTATTGATTTGCATGTACTCATAAGATGCTGAAAATATGACATTGTAATTGGAAAGAGATAAAGGAGAGACAAAGTAGGCATTTGATTTGACTTCGTAAAATTAATTTAAGAGGAACCCGTCAATTTGCAGAATTAATTATGATTTTCTTTTAATTTTCTCATAAAACTATAAAAAGAATGTGGTCATTTTTCCAAAATAAACAATACTATTGTATTATTGTGTCGTGAAGGACTAAAATTAAAATGAACACATGAGCTGACCAAGCGACCCTAAAATTTGCATAAAAAAATATGACATAAAATGTACTTTAAATTTATCTGTTTTTGTTTGGTCCTGGTGTTGTATATAGTAGCGTCCATCTTTTTTATTTTCTCTTTCCAAGGATCTTAAAACACAACAGACATGTTTGGTTACTTATTCGAAGCTACCCGTTCTAACTACACACATGTTTGAATTTTCATTTCAAATAATTTTTCGAACACTCTACTGTGTTAGGAAAACATGCTCTTAGTAAACTCTCAAATAATTATCAGAAAATATCTAAAGACAAAGACTACTAAAACTTATGTTTTAGATTTATTAATGAAAAAGTTACTTATATTTAATTTTTATAAAGTAAAAAAAATTACATATATTGACAAAAAGACATCATACGTACATAGAAAGAGACTTGATCTATATCTTTCTTATTCAAAACTCAAAATCTTCTTTTGGCTTATTTGACTGAAGTTTGCCTAGTATTAATTATTTATAAATAATGTATGTTTGTATTTTGCAGAGTAAAAGCTGGAAAAACTTATTTGCATACGTGGGGCCTGGATTTCTTGTTTCCATTGCATATATCGACCCAGGAAACTGTATGATCAATTATTCATCGCTTTCTTCTCAAATAAATTCCTGACATTAACACACATATAGATATATTATATATATGCTTATTGTATTTTTACAATGACTTGCAGTTGAGACAGATCTTCAATCAGGGGCACAATATAAATATGAGGTATGTAATATGGTATACATATATATATATATATTTCATGCAATATCATACTTATACACCTATTTTTCAGTTACTTTGGATCATATTGGTGGCCTCATGCGCTGCTCTTCTAATTCAAACAATGGCTGCTAATCTTGGAGTTGTCACAGGTACTTCACTCAATAATTTGATGCTAACTTTATGTCCTTCTTTGCAATCAATGTTTTCAAAATTCAATTTTCTGCTTTCAGGAATGCACCTTGCAGAGCATTGTAGAAATGAATATTCTCGGGTGCCCAACTTTATCCTTTGGGTTATTGCTGAAATTGCCGTAGTAGCCTGTGACATCCCTGAAGGTATGGTATAGAGGTGGATTTAGCTTTTTGGAACTGTTGCTACTTATTTATACATGCATGTAAATGTTACATGTCATAATCATTGGTTTCTAATGTTGATCTTATTTGGCTGCCAAGGATGCTTTTGGAATATACAACAAACATGACAAATGAAAACATATACAATAACCATGACATTGAATAAATTCAACAAGTTCTTTTTCCCCCCATTACGAGCTGCATATAGTAGTCTACTTAATAAAAAAATTTGACCAGTTCAAAGTTATAAGTAATATGAGTGGCTGTTGACGACAACAATGAAAGTCAACACATAATGTACCATATGTTGTGTACCAAGAATTCGCATACATATACACATGTCTTCACATTAGAGAAATATTGTCTACTTTAGATCTAAACCTTCACGGTTTTGTTTTTGGACATCATTTAAAATACCTCTTTTCAATGGAGACATCTGTGTGAATATAAACTCATGTTTATCTTTTTGTGTGAATGATATAAAACTTTGCTTGCATCCCAACATAATAAGTTCTAAAATACAAACCACAAGTTTCCCTTTATTTGGGTTCCTTTTTAACTTTTAATTATTTTTATCTTGACTCTGTTGTACGTATGCAGTAATTGGGACAGCCTTTGCATTGAACATGCTCTTCAACATACCTGTTTGGATAGGTGTTCTTCTGACAGGACTCAGTACATTGATCCTCTTAGCATTACAACAATATGGGGTAGTTTTCTTTATTCTATACAACCTCTCTTCTTATTGAAAGTTTATTACGTGATCCTAGACTGCATAATGATCGGTTGAAACTATGGACACTTGACGGTCTTTGTCTTCCTAGTAGTTAATTGAAATCATACTATGGTTTGATATAATATAATATAATACATAAAAATTATTACATCCTGAACAAATTAATGGTTGACATTGCAAGTTTCATTAGGTTAATATTTATATGACTTTTTTTTTGTGTTGTTATTAAACAGGTTAGGAAACTCGAATTCTTCATTGCATTTCTAGTATTTACAATTGCTGCTTGCTTTATGGTAGAGCTTGGATACGCAAAACCGGTGGCCAAAGAAGTTGTGACGGGTCTTTTTGTTCCAAAACTTGAAGGACATGGTGCCACTGGTCTTGCAATTTCACTCCTTGGGGCAATGGTTATGCCGTGGGTTCCTCGTGTCTTCTCCAACCATTTCTTTCTGTGTCCCTTAATAATGTGATCTAATCCTATATATGTTTCTTTATGCATTTGCTTCAGGCACAATCTCTTCCTCCACTCAGCATTGGTGCTTTCCAGGAAAATACCTCGATCAGCTCGTGGAATCAAAGTAAACATTTTATCTCTTGTATGCATGTGCGAAAATTCGTTTCTAGTTATAATCTTATTCCAGTGGTGTTGGTCTATTTAAAATATTGATATTAAATCAAAAGAAAAAACTAAGTCTCTAAGATAAATAAGGCATAACTTTCATCTTATAAGCTGATTTTGTAATATTAAATTAAATTTAAATTTACATTCTTAATATAATATAAGACTCTATTCTAAATAGAAGCCCACTTCTTGATTTTATCGTAAATTAATCATTAATTGTCAATTTTAAAATATTATATAGAAGATATCCGTGAATAAAAAAAATTCATTTAAAAGGGAAACACTCTTTGCAATTTGAGATTTTAGCCTGGTTAATTTTTGTCATTTTATTGGAGTTGTAGAGTTCTTCTGATGAGAATTTCGATGTGAGCCCAAAGTATAACATGCCCTTACATCATCCCAGCAGCTTTAGTCCAAACAACAAGAGAAGACATGTTAGATAATAAAAGTCGGTGACCAAAACAAAAAATGACACAAAAAGCCAACTGTTCAAACAATGATTTTGTTAATTACTTCACAAGCCTTTCTTTATTGTTTTTAAAACAAGTTTCTTCACGAATACATCATTAAGCTTTATAATGGCATTTGGTTTTTAAAGGAAAAATGTTGTTCGAATAGTGAAACCCATAGTTTTTACCTTTTCATTGTTCGGTAAGAGAGTATTGTGAAAGCGTAAGCTTATTGGAAATTGAATTATTCTTGGAAGGTCTTGTTAAATCTTTTTAATTTTTTTTATTTTTGCTTTCACAGGAAGCTTGCAGATTTTACATGATAGAAAGTGCCTTTGCTCTCGCGGTGGCCTTCCTCATAAATATTTCTGTTATTTCAGTAAGTGGTGCAGTTTGCAATTCTTCAAACTTAAGTGCTGAAGATCAGAATAACTGTCAGGATTTGGATTTGAACAAAGCCTCCTTTTTATTAAGAGTATGTGACACTACCATATGTCTTATTATTATTCCTATGTGACAAAATTGAATGTGCCTATTTCTTGAACTTCAAATATCATTTTTGTTTGAAAGTGAGTTAATAAAATCATTGATGATAAATTTGATATGGGTGACACTCAGAATGTCTTGGGCAAATGGAATTCAAAACTATTTGCAATTGCTTTACTTGCCTCTGGTCAAAGTTCTACTATAACAGGAACATATGCAGGGCAATACGTCATGCAGGTATACTTATTTATTTATTTAATATTTAATATTTTTTTTTTTTTTTGCATAAAAGGAGTACTTTTGGCCATCTTTTTCACTATAATGAATCCATTGTTTAGTTTATATGAAGTATTCCAACCATATGATAACCCACAATAACTGCATGCATAACATTTTGTGATTTGAGTTTTCTATTTAAGAGGGAGCAGTTATGATTCTTTAAACTAAATTATGATGGCAAAGTAAGAAATCAACCATATTTATATATTAATATTCAATTATGAACCAATCTTATTGTTTAAGAGCTTTAATGGTAGTGATGGATATCCCAAACAAGCTTTGAGATAAACAATAATAAAAATTTCTTTAATTCACCTGGATTGTGATGACTCTCAGTATTGTTCATCTTAGGTCATTTCTACTCTGCAGTTTGCATTTCCCTATAATTACTATCTTATTCTTATTTCAGGGATTTCTTGATTTTCGACTGAAGTCATGGATTCGGAATCTACTAACTCGTTGTATAGCCATTGTTCCTAGTTTGATTGTTGCACTCATTGGTGGCTCTGCTGGAGCTGGGAAGCTCATCATAATTGCATCAGTAAGAAATACCTTGCAACTAGGTTCTCTCTACTTTTTTAACCATATCATATATATTATCTATGCTTTTCACAAGAATTTTTCTGGTACTAGAATCAATAAGTTGTTCAAATTGTCATAAGTTCCTAGAAGATTCTCGTATATTTGTATAAGGGTTAAATATACTTCTAGTACTTCTATCATACACAAGATGGATCAATTGTAGAAAAATGGAAACATTTTGTTTGGAAATGCTCAAAATTTAAGAGATGTAACAACTCTGGTCAGCAACTAAGCATAACTGCATTGGTGGATATAAGTAGGACTGTAGGACCAGTCATGCCGTTGCATACGGTTACTGTGCAGAAATGCACCATTTTTGCTATTGAAAACAATCTTCCATACATGGCGTCAATTAATAGTTCCTGTCGGACTGTGTATTGTTTATACATATTGTGCATCATATGCAGTTATCCACCACCTTGTGCTATTGTGATCAATTTTGTATACATGACATCATTATGCAATTCCTGTTAGATTGTGTATTATTAAATCTTATGTATAATACAATTGACCTTCTGAGATTATCTTTTGGGCTATGCTTTAGTTTGTGCTGAAGTCCTTCTATGTCTGCTAATCAGATGATCTTATCATTTGAGCTTCCGTTTGCTTTGATTCCGCTACTCAAGTTCACTAGCAGCAAAACCAAGATGGGAGAACATGTCAACTCAATCACGGTAATTTTTTGGTTACATGAAAATTGAAACCTGTTAACACATTAAATTGGTTACCAACTTCACAAATGTTGCCAAAATGTTTAGAATCATCATCTGACACATGTTGCTTCATGCTACAAAGTTGCATGTCAAAAAAACTGTTTGTCTGATAAGGATTTTCTATAAATACTTGAATTGCAGATTTCGGCTGTTACTTGGATCATTGGTTCCCTCATCATGGGCATAAACATATACTATTTATTGACTAGCTTTGTCAAGTTGCTTCTTCATGTCCACCTAAAAATTGTTACTAAGGTGTTTCTCGGGATTTTGGGAATTTCTGGTGTGGCAATATATATGGGAGGCATTGCATATCTAGTGTTTCGCAAAAATAAAAAGGTTACACACATTTTGGCATTTAGTACACAAGAAGATCAGCATGTAGAAAATGAACAAGGCAATATATCAATGTATCATCTCCCAAGAGAAGACATAGTAAGCATGCAATTGCCTGAAAAAAGTAGTGCTGCAGAAATTGATTGAGAAATATCTTAGTAAGGTAGATTAGCTAGATAGAGTCCTAGTCAAGGATACAAATAAGATCCCATTTTATGTTTGTTAATTTATAGAAATTGAATATATGTAAAAGTTAACATTGCCTGGTGCAAATTAAGTACCAAGCACATCACCTTACAAATATGTATAAAGTGACAGAATCAGTGTGTGAATACAGAAAATAGGATTGGGGTGGGATCAATTGTAATGAGATGGTGAAAACTATGCAACTATGAGGTGATGTGTATCTATGTGTGGATAACATAATTCTGTAGAAGAGAAGGATCTCTTTGGACTATTGATGAGAAGTGCTTCTGGTGTCACTTGGCCAGAATTGCTAAAGCTTTTGATTTATACATTTAATGCTTATCTTAAGACAATCTTTCTCTCGAAATATGAGAAGGCTTTTGTCACTACTCACTAGTTATACCACATTGTTCATAATCAATAGAAAAGTACCATCATCCTTGTAACTTTGGCACGTGGATCCTCTCCAATCATATTTCTCTGCAATTACTGTTCTACAAAATCTTAACCATTTATTGGTTAGTCTAACAGTAATCAGAGAAGGGAGAAAATGTGGGTCATTGGAACTTTGTAATGCTTCGTTTATTATGACGGTGTTTAGAAGAGTTTATGGAGAATTTATGAAAATAATTTGCTGCTCTTACACCTCTTTAATTTATTTTAATATATTTCTTGATATAACTTAATAAAATAGGTTTTTTTTTATCTTCTAAAAAAATGTTTAAATTTTGAAGATAAGTTATCATTTTGCAAAACGTAATAAACATTATTCATCTAAATTATCCATTTATAATTGAAAATGGAGCAAATCTAACGTGAAGTCATATCAAGTGGAGATATTTTCAATCATTATAACTACTTATTAATAAGGTGATATGCAAGAGAGAGAGGAAAGAAAAATTATTGAATAATCTAATGAATTCATATTTTGTCTGTTACTATTTTATTTGTTATTTGGATTGTAATTGGGTATTAAGAGATTATTATATTTTATCATGTTATAAGGTTAAAAAGCATTTGTATTAGATATCTCTCTTCATTCAGAAATAAAAAAACTTTTGAACTATTTGTGGAAGTAGGTCACATTGACCGAATGTAATTTGTATGTGGTCTTCTTTCTTTTGATCTCTTTCTTTTACATATTGTCATAACAATTGGTATCAGACCTCTAGGTTACGCTAGGAACTGATATGGAGAAACACAATGTCTTTGTACTAATTCGATATTGATAAATTCAATGGATCGAATGATTTCACTTTGTGAAAATTGAAGATGAAGGCGGTTCTTGTGCATTAGAGGTGCGTTGCAGCACTGAAGGGTGTGGATAAATTACCCACGACGATGAATGATGATGTAAAGAACGCGATGTTGGAAAAAACACACAATTTGATTCCCTTGAGTTTAACTGATGAGGTTCTGTGAGAGGTGGGTGAAGAGACAACAACTGTAGGGTGTGAAAAATGTTGGAGTATACCTTGCAGATCTTTGAGAATATGTCTGTGAGAGATCATCTTGATAATTTTAACCGAATTATCTTGGACCTATAGAGTATTGGAGTTAAAGTTGATGATGAGGATCTAGCTATTATTTTGTTATGCTCTTTACCAAAATCGTATGAGAATTTTATTGATACTATGTTGTATGGTAGGATAGTATTATTGTCAACAACATGAAGGACAACTTGCAATCTAAAGAATTGAAGAGAAGAGTCTCTAGTTCTAATGGGGATGATGCAGGTCTGATAGTTAGCAAAGGCAGAAGCATGGAGAGAGGAAATAGTAGCAAAGGTCATACACGCAGTAATTCACTTTCAAAGTCAAAGAAGGTGAGATGTTACAAGTGCAAAGAGGTAGGGCACATAAGGAAGAATTGTCCATAATTGAAGAAAGACAGAAATAATAATGTTAGTGCAGCTATGCAATTGTCTTTGGTGAGAGTTCATATGAAGGAGCTGGCAAAGATGTTTTGACGGTCAGTACTATTGGTTTTGCTAATACATGGGTCATGGATACCAGTGATTCTTATCATATGATTTTTAATAGGAAGTTGTTTAATTCATTTAAAGAATGAAATGGTAGTGTAAAGTTGGGTGATGATGAGGAGCTTGGAGTGAAAGGTAGTGGCGCTGTGCAGATAAAAATGTATGATGGCATGGTCAGAACATTTGATGCTTGGTATGTTCCTGGCTTGTAGAAGAACCTGATTTCTATTGGTACCTTAGATAAACAAGGGTACAGTTTTTCAGGAAATGATGGAACATATTACAGTTTCTAAAAGTTCTCTAGTTGTCATGAAAGGGATGTTACAACATGGAATTCATGTTATGCTTGACAATTCTTTTTAGGGAATGGTGTCTATATCCCATTTCTTAGAGCAACATGTTGATAATACAGAATTATGACATTGTAGGTTGGGGCATATGAGTGAGTGTGGACTTGTAGTGTTGAGTAAACAAGGACTGTTGGGTGGAGTGGTGACAGGGAAATTGGAGTTTTGTGAATCTTCTGTTATGGGTAAACAATGCAAGCTAAAATTCAGTCACGGTAAGCACACTTCAACTGGAATATTGTAATATGTTCAATTTGATTTATGGGATCCTTCCCCAGTTCAATCCTATGAAAGGAGCAAGTATTTTGTGACATTTATTAATGACTACTCTAGAAAGGTTTGGGTGTATTTTTTGAAGTCCAAGGATGAAGTGTTTGGGCGTTTTAAGGGGTGAAAGACTATGGTTAAGAAACGAATCGAGAAATTAGTCAAGACTCTAAGAACAGATAATGGACTGGAGTTCTGCAATGCATTGTTTGATGATTACTGCAAAGAAGCATGTATAGTTAGGCACCTCACAGTGAGACATACATCACAATAGAATGGCATTGCTGAACGGATGAATCAAACACTACTTCAGCGAGCTCGGTACGTGCGTTTAAATGCTAGTCTCTCAAAAGGATTCTAGGCTGAAGCAGTTAATACTGCTATTTGGCGAACGGGTCTTCATTTACTGCAATTGATTTAAAGACTCCTCAGGAGGCATGGTCTGGTAAACCTTTTGATTTTTTGGCTTAAGTATATTTGGTTGTCTTGCTTATGCTCATGTTAATGATGGTAAATTAGAGCCTAGAGCAATGAAATGTGTATTTCTTGGGTACCCTATGGGTGTCAAAAGGTATAGATTATGGTGTACTAAAAATAATAGAACAAAGAAATTTGTTATTAGTAGAGATGTTACTTTTAATGAGTCTACTATGTTTGGCTAGAAAGAGGAGGTTGAAAATCTTGCAGGAAATAAAAGTACAAAAAGGGGGTTCATCAGAATGTGGAGCTTGAGGTTGAAGATTCAAATAAGGAAAATTTGAATCTTGTGGAATAATCTAGTAATGTCCAAGAAGAGCTTCAAAGCATAGCAACAAGGAGAACAAGGAGGGAAATTAGAAAACTTGCAAGGTATGCAGATGTTACTAATGTTATTGATACTTGCGTATGACTTGGCACTTGGTGAAAATCTTGATTCAGATGAGCCTAAATCCTATAAGGAGGCAATTCAAAGTAAAAAGCATCAAAAGGGTTAATTGCCATGGATGAGGAGATGCAGTCACTTAAGAAAAATCAAACCTAGGAGTTAGTACCATTACCTAGAGGTGTGAAGCTAGTGGATGCAAATGGGTGTTAAAAAGGAAAGAAGGGATTCCTGGTGTTGAACCATCAAGGTTCAAGGCAAGACTTGTGGCAAAGAGTTTTTCACAAAAAGAGGGAATTGACTACCATGAATTTTTCTCTCCTGTGGTAAAACATAAGACTATTCGTGTTCTGTTGGCTATGGTGAGTGCTTTGGATATGGAGTTAGAGCAGCTTAACGTGAAAACTGAATTCTTACATGAAAATTTAGAAGAGCATATTTACATGTCACAACCAGATGGATTCCTTGAGGCTGGAAAAGGGAATCATGTGTGTTTGCTAAAAAAATCCTTGTATGGTTTAAAATAGAACCCGAGGTAGTGGTACAAGAGGTTTGGTGATTTTATGGTTTCCTATAATTTTGTTCGAAATGAGTTTGATAATTGTATTTATAGTAGGAAGCTATCAGATGGTTCCTATATATATTTGTTGTTGTATGTGGATGACATGCTAATTGTAGCTAAGAGCAACACTAATATTGATGCTTTTAAAGCTATGTTGAGCAGTGAGTTTAGGATGAAGGATTTGGGTGCGACCAAGAAAATTTCAGGAATGAAGATTTGGAGAGATAGGAATATAGGTCTACTTTATGTATCTCAAAAGAAATACATTGAAAAGTTGTTGCAGTCTTTTCAAATGGAGAATTCTAAGCCTGTTAGTACTCCTTTGGCAGCACATTTTAAATTTGATGCTAACACTCTTCCTAGTACCGATGAAGAGAAGGAGTATATGAATGAGGTTCCTTACTCTAGTGCTATTGGGAACTTAATGTATGTCATGGTTTGTACAAGACCAGATTTAGATCATGCTATGAGTGTGGTTAGTAGATTTATGAGTAATCATGGGAAGGCTCATTGGGAGACTATGAAGTGGATTATGCAATATTTGAACGGTACTAGTAATATCTGCTTGGTTTATGTTTCTAATGATATTGGGTGTGGTCTTATTGGCTATGCAGATTTTGACTATGGTGGAGATCTCGTGAGGATAAGATCTTTGACATGTTATATCTTCACTCTTTATAGTTGTGCTGTTAGTTGGAAAGCAACACTTCAACCTATTGTTACTTTGTCTATCACTAAAGCAGAATACATGTTCTTGACAGAAGGGTTAAAATAGGTATATGGTTGCAAGGTCTTATTGATAGCTTGGATTTGAATGTGTAAAGACGTATACTTTATTGTGATAGTCAAAATGCTTTGTGCTTGGCAAAAATTCTAGTATATCATGAAAGATCAAAGCATATTGATGTCAGATTGAATTTCATACGAGATGTAATTGAAAAGTTTAAGCATAGCTTGGACTTTGTGAATGTTTGCATAACTTGAGACCTTTTAGGAAGAATAGGCAGGAGAATTGTTCTTGGTTATTGGTGACTTGGGAAAATTCAAGTTAAGGTGGAGAATTGTTGAGATGCCTTGAATTCGTATATTGTCTATTACTATTTTATCTATTATTTGGGTTGTAATAGGGGTATTAAGGGGCTGTTATATTTTATCCTTGTTATGAGGCTAAAAGACATTTGTATCAGATATCTCTCCTCATTAAGAAATAAGAAACTCTTGAACTATCCATGAACATAGGTCACATTGACTAAATCACGTAATTTGTGTGTCGTCTATTTTCTCTTGATCTCTTTCTTTTGCATATTGTCAT